GACCACAGACGGGTCCACAATAAAGCTGTGAACTGGGCTCAGTTACCTATTAGAGAACATGCTTTAGACATCCTGTCCCATGCTTTGGGAAGTAGATTATTTTTTTCCCTGAATGGGGTCAAAGATGACGCTCCAGCTCCTTGGTCTCTCCACATTGGTGATGATGTGAGGATCCACCGCCCTCAGTTCTCTGCTGTCCCTTACGGCAGCCACAGTTATACCTGTTGATTTAGACCCAGCAGTTATCAACCTGTGGGTCTAACCTCCTTGGGGTTGCATATCAGATATTTACATTATGATTCATAACAGTAGCAAAATCACAGATTATGAAGTGGCAATGAAATCACCTTACGGTTGGAGGTCAGCACAACACGAGGAACTGCATTAAAGTCTGGCAGCCTTAGGAAGGTCGAGAACCGCTGATTTAGACTTAACATTAAAAAGTTCCATCTCCCTGACACAATGATCACGTTTCAAGTACTCAGCAGACACATTTCACTGGTGGCCATGGCAGCGAATGGAGCAGAGTGAACACACCTCTGTCATTGCTGGAAGGGCTGCGGGACACTGCTGATCTATTTAGTGAGCATAATGATAGCATCCACCTTACAGGATGGCGAGGGCAATTAAGTGACAAATTGCATGTAAGCACTTAGTATAACACCGCAACTATCTACATACTCAGTAAGTGGGATTTATTACTATTATCCACAGGATAAAAGTTCTCCTAAAAGGGGGCCATCTAAGTACCAAGTTTAATTAGAGAATACATTACACACACGTACCCCCATGTTTAACTCTTGGTATTAGCTCTTACTGAGAGCAGAGGTTACAGGAAGCATCAAGAATGATGAATCCTCGAGAACATTCCCTACAAGGTCACAGGCTACTGCAGAGCCCAAGTCGAAGTGAGAAGCGGGCTTGGACATTGCTTAAAGAGAAGCAGAAAGAGTCAGGCTGTGAGAAACATCTTCCTTCAACAACATTCCGGCAGGAAAAAGCACACTGGATTCGTTGTTAGAAGGAAGGAGAAGAGAGAGGAGGACATGCAAGTGCGACGGCTAATCCTGACTCTCAATCTGGTGGGATTTGGGGCCACCTGAGAAACAAACCTGTGGGCATACCTGTGAGGAATTTTCTAGCTCATGTTAATTCTAGTGGGAATTAACAATGTGGTTGGAACCATTACATGGGCAAGGGTTCTGGACTCAATATCAAGAGGAAAGGGGTCTGAGCATGAACACTATCTCTGCTTCCTGACTGGACACAATGCAATCAGTCACCTTCCGCTCCTGCTGCCACGCCTTCCTAACCATGATGGGCAATACCCTTAAACTGCCAGTTGGAAGAAGCCCTCCCTTCCCTAAGCTGCTCATGCCAGGTATTTTGGACCATCAACAAGAAAAATAACTAAGGCAGCATGTGAAGGGAAGGAGGGAGAGAGAAGAAGAAGAGTCATGGGACATGAAACAATTTTGCTGTGCTAGGCCCAGAGAACTGAGCCTGGGTCTCAGGCCCCTGACTTGTAGGTTATTGTTGAATCTGCTGAGCTGGGATGGGTACTCCAGGAAGAATAATATCCATGGCGGGTTAGCAGTTGCCCAGAATATGGAATTTCTCCATTGTTTAGAACAGGCTAGAATATGGAGATGGGCTGTGGAGCCTTGAAGCAGCGGGTGAGCCAAAAAGACCCATGGAGAAGCATCAAGCAGGTGGTAGGTGGGGGAGGCTTGACTGTGGAAGCAGAGATGGGGTACAGACCATGAGAAGATGTGTACATCCCTTTCCAGCAGCCCCTTAGCCCCTTGCACATCCCTTCCCAGAAGCCCCTTAGCCCCTTGCACATCCCTTCCCAGAAGCCCCTTAGCCCCTCATAGTTTTCTCTGACCTACATTCCTCCTTGGAAACATTTGCTGATTTTGTCCGAGGGTTGAAACTGAAATTCTTGGACTGTGAAAGTCTAAGACCATTGAGGGACTCGAGAAATAATAGGCAGCGCTTAGTAAGGACTCACAATGTGCTAGATACTAAGCATCACAACCCGTTCCTCCTTAAAAATAATCCGATGTAGTATGCTACAGGTCCAGATTTCATCCCTATTATTTTTCATTTATGAAATGGAATAAAGAGATTGTCTAAGACAGAAATTGACTTTACGGAAGGGTTGATTCCTGGTTGACCATATGAGGTTGGAGAGTCTAATGGTGCATAAAATCTCTGGGATGACCAACAGTCAAGAATATAGTACATAACGTGAGTTCATGATGACACCTTATAGGGGACAGTATATTGTGAAGTCAGGCATTTAGGTCTTGAGCTGTCTAGTTGTGTGACCTCAGACTGATGGTTCTACTCTGTTTCTGATTAATGGTCGTTCCTCACAATAGTTTAAAAATTATTCAAAAAGCTGAAAACCATAACACTATGTCCATCTTGGCTTCATTATGAGGCCCAGACCAGACTGGTTGTCTTCTGTCAAGACTCTGCATATCAAGCTGCAGTAGGCAGAGATGTCACAGTAATAAGGGGTTTTCTCTTTGCTAGCCTATGTGAGAAACTGATGGTCAACAAAAGGGGTTCTCTTTTGTACTTATGAGCTTGAAACCTGAGCAAGTGATTTGAAGACAGTCACCCACCACCCACTCATTCATTCCTTTATTCTCCCCAAATCCTATCAACCCCTCACTAGTCATGCAAGTTCATGTGAGTAAAAGCACAGCATGTGGCCTTGGGAGTCTTGATATAACTCCTGGGCCCTTCTCTCCCTGACCATGTCATCTCAGTCAAGCGTATCATTGGGCTAAACCTGTTTTCTATCCTGTAACCTTAAACAAATATATAAAGGCTACAAGGAAGATAAGCTACATGGGAAGCTTTAGAAGGTATTCTATAAATAAAAGTATTGCTAAATTTGGAAAGGAATACTTTAAGAAATGCGATACTTGAAAGTATATGAAATGATGAAATGAACAATGGCTGTTAATAGAATATGGGGGAGTCCCTAGGTGTGAAGCATGATGGGAAAAATGGATCTGGCTTCTAGCTTCCTTAACTTTGGATTTCTGGTTTAATTCTGTATGGGTCATTTTACTTGCCTCAGTTTCTCCTTGCTCCCCAAAGACATCACAAGTTGCGATGTTGGTGGGATTAGGTAATTAGGTTCCCTTCACCCTTTCTAAATAGGAATATTATTAATTCTCAATACTATAAGGTCTCATACACACTGCTCAGTACCTTGGGAGGGAAGCAAAATTACTTTTCTAAATGAATCTCATCTTTAAAAAAAAAACAGAGGATGAAAAATGACTCCTCAGAATTTCTTTAAATTTGTCTACCTCCTTAGGCTGTAAAGAGAAAAGGAGAGAGCTGTAACTAAGGCCCTGCTGCCGAGGGCTGATTGGATCAACCACACAAGACTACATACATCAGTCACCCAGCTTTCCTGAACTAGCACTGAAACTCCACCTCGTTCCCATTGGCCCTTTCCCTCCCCAGAGATAGAACTGTTCGGGCCCAGGCAAGAAGTTTTCTCTTCTGAGCTTGGTATTTAGAGTTCTCTTTCCCGTGTGCAGAACTGAATTACATAGTCTCGGATAAGGTAGACACTGTGGCATCTCTCAACCTCTTCCCAGCATCACCAGAAAACACGGTTCCATACAAGCTGGTCTGGTGTTACCCAATATGCAAGATACAGCGCTTGGCATAGAAGCTGTGCTTGAAAACTGTTCTCACAATCCACTGACAGACTTTGTACTATTTTCTTGTTTCAGACTACACTGGCGGATTTGGCGGTGTGAGGAGGGCGCATCAGCCATCCCAAAGCATTTCCTATTTAGCTCCTTTGCACTCATATGAGTCCTGATGAGATCATGAGAGACTTCAGCCCACTGAGATGTTTCCCACAGAGCTTCATGCTCTAAGGTTGAGATAGTTCTCGAATCCAGATGGGCTCACCCTACTGCGCGGTAGCGTTAGTGGCCATCGCTGAGGTGGGGGAGTCAGAGCGATGGGAATGCTGCCCTGCACTCCTGCTCTGATGTCACAGGGGATGTCTGGAGTCCTTTCTCAAGACTGAGAATGTGATTGTGAGAGAGAGTCAAAGCAATTATTTAAATTCATTTTATAGTACAAATGACTGGCATGATATATTCCTTTTGAGTAAATTCTAGTAGGGAAGAAGAAAGGAACATAAAGACACTGACACTTGAAGAGAATAAAAGGTGACAGACTGATAGATGGGCTCAATTAAAGAGGTGGAGAGACCCCGGGGACCAACTAGCACAGCCTCCCGATCCATGACATGCCATTTTTCTAGTCACAGGACCGAGATGTTTTAATCTGCTGATGAGATCATTATTAGAACTGAGTTAGAAGCAGTGGTCCAGGCTCCGGCTCCGAGCACAGAGCCTTCCCATTCCTTGGACTGAACATAAGACCGCAGCAGAGAAACCAGATAGTCTTACTTTCTTCCTGTTTGGTTGTGGCTGGACAGCCCTCTCTTCGACACCATGGCCCACAGCTCCCAATGCGTAGAGCTTGCTCTGCTGTGTTCCCAGGTGGGGCTCACTCACCTGTGGCCGCTTCCACTCCAGTTTTGAAAGGTGTTTCCCCTTGAGCAGCTTCTGGCCTATGGAAGATGCCTCCGCAGGGAATGTATCATCTAGAAACAGCTGACCCCTGCTCAGGCATCGATCCCGTAAGGACCTGAAGTCCTGATTCTTGAACTTGACCACCGAGGTCTCTGTTAGAGGCTCTGGGTTATGCGCCATGACTATCTCTAGAGAGATGTCTGAAGTCCGTTCTTCCTGGTGAGAAAAAGAAAAACGATTAGCGCCAGAAGATTTTGATGCCTTCACTTTCATAAGACCTGAGACTTGGCTCTCTGCTGTCCCTGGGCATAGAGCCCCTGGGCGGGTCAGCCTCAGCTGAACTTCAACATTCCTACTTCCTGGTTACATTCAACCTGGTGTACTGAATTAGCATCTCCGTGTGTTCTTGTGTGCACCAGAGACTATGAGGGGATTTGTCCCCTTAATGAACATTTATTGAGCAGTGACCTTGTGCCAGGCACTCTTCTGAACGTCGGCAATCCGAAGATAAATACATCATGATCTTTATCCCCCGGGGGCTCATTACCAAGTGAGAAAGACGGATTAGACGTTTCAACAGCAGCTAGCATTCAACAGACACTACTCAATTGAAAATGTGTACGAAGTCCGTGGCTGTAAGGAGGGAGCACTCTGACTGTCGGACAGCCCAGGAGGACATGTCCATAGCTGGTGACATTTGAATCAATCCTTGAAGGAAGAGGAACCTACCAGATGGAGAAATGGTGGGTAATGTTTTAAGTGTCTGTAGCCTCTGCTACTCAGGGCAGCTGGGCTTGTGAAGTCATAGGGTCTGGGAGAATAGGAAGTGATTTGAAGGGTTTAGTGGGGTTGGGATTGGAATAGTTAAGTATCAGGAAAAAATGCAAAGGCAGATTGGAAAGTCCAATTAAGCTTTTTTTATTTGTTTTTGTTTTGTCTGTTTGGGGTTTTGACAGCCAGCTGCAAGCGTTCGTGTGTGTGTGTGTGTGTGTGTGTAGTGTGTGTGTGTTTGGTGTGTGGTGTATGTGTGTGTGTTGTGTGTGTGTGTTGTGTGTGATGTGTGTGTTGTGTGTTGTGTGTGTGTGTGTGTGTGTGTAGCATGTGTCCTGATCATGTCTGTAGATAGGATGGTGACGTGAGAATGCATGCAGACCGGAGGAACCCCACACATCTGCCCTCAGGAAAGAGTGGCAGAGCATCAGTGCCGAGAATGGCAAAAAAGTAGACAAACCTCAGGGCCGTTTTATAGGTGAAGCCTGTCAAATGAGATGTTGAATTGAACAAGGAGGAGAGGGGAGGTAGCGTGGTGAATGGCTATGGGTTTTAAAGTTTGCTTTGTACTTTTCCCACCTACCTTTTGGGTCTACAATACTGAAATAACTCCCATGTCTATGAACCAATCTCTACCTACATGGGTCAGTTGTACCAGACTTAGAGAGTTTGTGATGATATTAAATAAGATTTGACCCAACGAAGATGCTGGTATACAGTGTCATTCATTAAATGCCAGTGTCCAACTTCCTTAATACGTTGTCAATAAAGGTTTAGGATTCTTGTCCAGGAAGCCATACAGGTGTAACTGATGGATTTCAACAACATATACACCCCGTCCACCATCTGTGAAGCTAGCCTGGATTGCAGTTCAAAATTTACCCTATTAGCGGGGCATGAAAACCCCATGCAGGTCTTAAAGTCCTGCTATTGGAGCTTCTTTGGCAAAGGGTTACGTAGGCGGCACATAAAGTCCGAATGCCCTTTATTTTCCACCCACTACTGCTTCCTAGTGAAGAAACCAAGTGGGAAAAGAGTAAGGGAACGTGGGGGAAGTAACTCATAAGGGATTAACGCGAGCTGGCAGCCAAGACTTGTGAATCCCAGAAAAACATATGCAAACTTAAAATGACTTTGCAATTATCTTGCAGTTACTTGGTAGTGGTATGTGGCAAATTACTGAGATAGCGCAAATTCACAGGCAGAATATCGCCAGCTATGCGCCACCGTACGAGCGCATCCAGAGGAAATTGTACTTACACTTTCTCTCAGATAAGTTAGGAATAATTTACATGGGCATTATTCGAGCTCTATAAAACTGGCATTGCTATGGATCAAAAATAATTAACTATAATCAGATCCATATAGTATAACCTGAGGTAAAATAGTGGTTAAATACAGACCACTTGTTTGTCTTCACCTAGCAAGATATATTTATTTCTTCAATTGTATTCCTTGGGAAACAAAACCCAAGATATTCTGTACAGCTTTCTGCCTGCAAGGGGGTTATTCAGAGAGCCCACAACAAATTAAACGGTAGTGACAGAGCTGGAGTAACAGCAAGCTATCATTCAAGGGCAGGAAAACAGTGATAGAAATTGCTTGTCAATTCCAGACAATGGCAACGACACCTGGTAATGAAGAGTTAGGAAATTGTGGGTTTGCCAGCTCTGCGTGCTCAGGGCCCAGGGAACCAACACAGCATTACCCAGCCTCCTGCCTCTCCATCAAAGATTGAATTGGAGTACGTGAAAAACTCTAGCAATGACCTAATGTTAGCTTATGAAAACCACACTATAGTTACCCTTAATAACACAATTATGGGATTGCTAGTAAGGCCCATAATTGCATGTAAAAATTAAAGTTTAAAGGATTTTGTTTCATTTATTTGTCAGAATCATTTGGAGGTCTTAAAAGTGGGGAATGAGTCCCTGGCCCATTCTAGGGCACTCCCATTGCCCGCTATGGGCTGCTGGGTTGGCCAGACTTTAGGCATGCCCATTCAAGAGTTACCATCTTATTCGTAAGATGGAGATAACTTTACATACATAATAGGGTCATTCTGAGACTGAGAAGGAACTATGCCTGTAGAATGCATAACACCTTAACTAGTAAATAGAAAGTGGTCGGTAGGTAATCGTTTTTAGTCCAGTGACCACTCTCATTTGAGTATAAATGGGTTCTGTGGTGGCCTGGCATCTTCTAAGACAAGAACTTCTGTGTGTTCAAGGGTAGGCTAGGACCACAGAGGCCTGAAGGATGAGGGTAAGAGGGTGATTATACCTCTCTTGCTATTTGTTCTCCACTGTTTGCTCATTTACTGGGCTGTCTAGGCCCAGGAGGGAAGTGCAAAACTCCAAGGGCAGTGGCAGGTGATGTCTGCTGCTGGAGGAGGTGGGATACTCCAGGAAAGTATCTTTTTTTGTTTTTCAATTTTCAATCCTGCTTCTTTCAAACAATATTTTTATTTATTATTTGAGAGTTACATACATATTCACCACCCGTCTTCTCATAGGCTCCCCTCTATCTCCCTACTCACTCAATTTCCTGCCCTCCTTTTCTTTTCTTTTTAAACCCACTGAGTCCGATTTGTGCCGCCCAAGTCCCCTTGGGTGTAGGGCCATCTCCTGAAGCATGGTTGACCAACCAGAGGCTCCACCCGTAATGAAAACTGCCTCTTCCTTTCTCAGAGGCTATCAATTACACGTGGTACCTCGGTAGGGGTGGGACTTCATGTCCACCTCTTGGGGAGAATCTTGATGGATAACAGAAAAGACAGACAGGGAGGTTTATTCATCCAACACAGACATACCGTGTACACACACACACACACACACATGCAGCACACGTGCCTCACACCTACCATGTCTTCTCCTTCCCGAGTTGCTCATCTGCAGAACTTGATGATACGTCACTATTATGCATCCCGGGAAGGACCACTTGTCTCTTTGGAGGGTGCTTTGAGGTTTCTTTCCTACTTGCCTCACCTTCTCACTGACGTAAGAAAGAGAAAACAGAAGAGAGGGAAGCCCCGCCTGATGCTCAGATTAAGGTCTGGCTGGCTGCCGGGTCTCTCTTGGGGCACACCAAGAAAAATGCCATAGGAAGGTATGATAATGGCAGGACATGAAGAGACTGAGAAACTGGATGAGTTAATGGGTCAGGCTTTAGGAAAAGTAGTGGTGGGGGCTATGAAATTGCCCCTTCTGGTGACTTTTGCATCTATGAAACAGACTGAATCCATTTCTCTACACTCCTTTGCTGAGGGAAAAACTGTCTTAGTCAGCTTCCGCTGCCTAACAAAACACCCCTCCCCGCAACTGGGCCTACTAGCAACCGATTTTATAGATTCCATCTGGAGGCTATAAGCAAGTCCTGATTTTGTGTTCTCACTTTCTGTTTATACAAGGCTACAGTGTTTTGTATGTTGTCTATATTCTTAACATAAACGAGGTTTTTTTTATGATTACATCTCTAGATGCTGTCATACCAGAGACTAAATTTCCTTCATACCAGTCTGGGTAGGGGCGGAGGGAACTCAGTTCAATCTGGAGGCTCACTCACTCCAGTCTGACCCCACAGCTCTCCTGGTGTTGATTACATATTCTAAGAAGTTTGCCAATCCAAGGGAATGGGGAATATTAATTAGAGTTTTGGAGTATAGGGGAATGGGTGTCAGTGAACATGAGGAAGATTGGCTAGGCAGCACCGAGCAGTACTGAGAACACAATTCTTTGAAAGGATGGAAAAATGGGAAGGCCCCTTTATCCTAAGAGCACTGATACTTGTTGACACACGCAACAACATGGATAAGTCACAAAAGTCATTGTGCCAGATGAAGGCATCGAGGCAAAAGGAGCACACACCGCACAAGTACATTTAACTAATGGAACTGTGACAGAAAATGGGGAGTGGCCATCCACAAATCGAGGGAGAAGAATGGATGCATTCCAACCTTTCAGGGTGACACTGGTACTCATCTTGAGTGTGGTGAGGACATCACACACATGGACACCTTCCAATTGCATAACATTTGTACTTCAAATAGGTACAGTGATGTGCTAGTTTTACCCAAGGTTGCTAAAATTGGGTGCTGTACATAGCTTACATATAGTATTTATCATTCCCTTTCCTTCCCATATCACATGTTACCCTACAACTTACACAGCCATCTTTCCATTGATATTAAAAGTTCTCTTCGCTTTAGTGAGAAGTTATGCCATAAATATACTTGGGCAGACCTTGCCCTAATGCCTCCAGGTTGGGTCTCCTGGAGTGGAAGTTCTGAGTGTAGAGAATGGACCACACAGTCAAAGTCAGCTATCCTATTCTGCAAGGAAGTCTCCACTGCTGTATCTCCCGAGTGAGTCTGGTATTGGCAAGTTTCTCATTAGTATCCATCCAGTGTGAGCAAATAGCAACTCGTTGTGGTCTTAATTTGTTTCCCTGATTAGTAGTAAGACTGAGCATTTTTCAATATGTTTCTTCTCCATTCCTGCTCCCTCCCTTGAGAAATGAATATTCATATCTTATGCACATTTATCTACTGGCTTGTCCTTCTCTTATTGATTTGTAGGACTTCTTTATCTGCTTGAGATATTCATCTTTGGCTGGGTATATATGTTGCAAGTATTGTCCCCCAGCTTGTGGCTTTATCTTCTTTCACAGTGTCATTTGAAGAACATGACTGTCTTCTAATTTACATAAACATATTAAAATATCAATTTAAACTTTATAAACTAAGCTAAATGCTAACAGTTGTGGGTATTTAATAAAAGAGACTGTATGAGCTTATCTCCTTCTTTTTTCCCTTTGTTTAAAGTTGATTTTAATTAACACTACAATTTTTATGATTTAAGGATTTTTATAGCTCTATGGCAACTTTAACAAGTCTGATAGAAAAAAAATTGAAATAGTCTTGCAAGGAACATTTTGAGTATTTAGTAAATAATGCTGGAGGAAGTGTGTGAGT